AAACACTTAGACAATCACACAACAACAGTATACGACAATTTCTTATATACGCACTTTTTCGTTTCGTAGAAACTCACCTTTTCGTTTTGTAGAAACTACTCGCATTTTCGTTTTGTAGAAACTTAACCTTTTTTTTTTGTAGAAACTTACCTTTTCGTTTCGTATTGAATTACACCATGTCACAATACAACTGTATACATATGATATTACTAGGTAATCTATAGATAATGGGATATAGTAAAATGAAACAAGATGCTGATATCAATTTAATAATCTGTGTTTACCATATTTAGGTGTATTGGAAAAACAGATCAGATGACTACTTTTGTCGTTAAAAAGTTCACAAAACTACACAAAATTAACGGTAATCGGCTGTTACGGACCAGATTCATGGCTCATTCAGAACACTATTTGAATGGCTGGAGTATTTAAAATGTGTTTGCGCATATTTAATAATATGACCTAAATGACAATAAATAGTGTAATTAGTGATTGATTACTCAATAACTAGGAGCTAAATCGCGCAAAAGGTCTTTCAAATGCGATTAACGATTTCTCAATATCCCAGTTCACGGAAAACTAAGAAATTACCCAATGCTACCCAATATTACCATACACTACCTAGTATTATCAATTTATGATAACCTAACATTATCAAATAGCTGCATACCAGTATAATCGCTTAAACAGATACTTCTAATCAAACAACTGCATACATACATCTCATACACAATATGGGGGCCGAATGGGTAGCGCGTGTGCATGTTAAATCATAAGGTCTGTCATTGAGTCAACTGACGTGGTTTCGATTCCCCGGTTGTAAGTGACAAGGAGTAGGGTTACCTGTCCAACCTTGTGGGTTTTCTCCGGGTCGTCCGGTTTCCTCTCACTGCTAAAGACACCTACGCACTTCTCTTAGCGGATTGTAAATGGGCCTTAAGACGTTGGCTCGCTAACCTGGGGGTCCAATGTTCGATTCCTCCGTTGGCCGGGAAGTTCTCCTTGTCAGTGGTGCAGGACCGAAGGCCTGACAAGGAACCACGCATAGTCCTTCGGAGAGAACGAAAAACGGAGGTCCTGTGTACACATTGGCGTACACGTTAACGATCCATTGACAGTTGGAATTCAATATAAGAGTAGGCCGTAGCGCCGCTGTCCGGGCAAAATGTCTCTCATTGTGTATGCCCGTTTTCATTAGTCCAGTCGAAGCAGAGCAGTATTATGTTAAACCCATTTCATTAAATAGATGCTGTTTACATAGTAGTAGATACATCCAACTTGTAAGATTGTATGTCAGTTTTCATTAGTCCAGTCGAAGCAGAACAGTATTATGTTAAACCCCATTTCATTAAATAGATGCAGTTTACATAGTAGTAGATACATCCAACTTGTAAGATTGTATGTCAGTTTTCATTAGCAAGTGAAATGAAATGAAATGCGGTTTAACGTCCTACTGTTCGGTTCCGAACTAGGCTAATGAAGGCGGGCATAAGCCATACAGCGTGCTATGAGGAAAATATTGCCCGGACATCGGCACTACGGCCTACTCTTATATCTTAATCCAACTGTCAAGGGATCTTAACGTGCACGCCAATGTGTTCACGGTACCTCGGTTTTTCGTCCCATCCGAATGACTAGACAACTGTCAGGCCATCCGTCCTGCATCACTGACAAGGGGGAATCACACCGGAAAATCTGGATAAACATTCTCGGCGTCTTCATTAGCCAAGTCGGAGCAGAACAGTAGGACGTTAAACCCCATTTTATTGAGATGTATGATCTTCATCAATTAATGACTTGACGAGCCTACATAATAGCAGGTGTGACCTATATATAGATGTGATTTGACATACACCATTAAATTTAGTTTAAGCGTCTGGATAATAAAGCTTAGTAGAGTTCTTAATAAGAGTCTGGATAATAAAGCCGACGTGGTACATGAGAACAATTTATATCCAGAGTTAAGTTTGTACCCTTTTTTTTAAAAATAAAATATAATGGAAGCCTATGCTTAAGATTGCCCTCCCCCTCCCCCTCCCCCCCTATGCCTATGTCAGATATTAATCATACTGTAGATGTACGTTTTCTAATAATAGCTAATGGAAGCCCCTCAAACGGTTTTATAATAAAAAGAACGTCGTATTTGTTTTTTGTAGAAACAAGAATAATTTTGCTGTAAAGTTTCGTGTTGCCAGAAGAAAATGCTGCAGTTGTAATGTGAGCGCTAAGGCCCCCTTAGGTACCCACAGGAATGAAATGAAATGAAATTTAACGTTCTACTTTTCTGCACCGACTGGGTTAATGAAGACGGACATACACCATGCAGTCTGCTATGAGTGGAATTCTAAACGTCGAGGGTTAATTTCAGTCCAATAATGTTAAATGTTAAACATACGCACTTCGTTAATGTAAAAAAGGTTGCCCCTGGTGAGTGACGGTGACTCTGTTGGTAATACGCTGACTAACTATATCGTACATTTTACTTCTCAGAAGTACTAAATACTTAAAATAGTTGAAACTTGTGTAGGCACCTGAAAGTCTCAGCCAATCTGTTTAAAATACAGATCTATATTTCGTTTTTTTTATAAATGTACTTTCGATGGCCTACACTACATGAAGATCTGATCGGTTGTAGTAAAAGGTCGCTTCAGAGGTTGAACGAACGGCGTTTGACCCTGTGACGTCAGACATTTATTAATCAATCAGCGTTGACGTTTCTAGCGGTTTACCCACGTGATTTCTTGACTTCGGTCGAACTAACTGAATCCGAATTTGATTTAGTCCGGACCATAGTCGGAGTAGTTCCAAGATGGTGGTGTCGGTGAAACGAAAGTGTAGAATATGTAGAAAGAATCTATTTTTGTTAAGTATATGATTTTAGGAAAGCTTGAATGGATTTTAAATGGTTGCTACTTCTATGAGCAGATAATTTTTGTCTCGTATGTTATGTCTGAATCTATGTAAGTCTAAAAATTACGCATTATTTCAATATTTGCGCTATTCAAAAAGTAAAGTCAAATTACAAGGAATTTTGTCGTCTCTAAAATTAATTTGAGTCGCGCAAATTTAACTTAATGAAAGTATTATTTGTTTATTAAACTATATAACACAGCGATTCATTATCCTCCATGGAAAGATGTATAGACCTTCTTTGAGCTTAAGGTTTATTTAGGGTTATGGTGGAGGTCTAAAGCAGAGTAAAATGACATCACCGCGTCCCTGGGGGCAGCCATGTTTGAACAGACGATGGTCCGGACCATTCGCGTTCGGTTTCTAGTTCCGACCACTAGTCGTGAAATACTTATAACCGAAGGTCGCCCAAGAAGTCGCCCTAACAGATGGCTTCACTGGCTTATCCCTCACACCATCCAGTCCAGAACGCAGGTTATATAACATTCTTCCAGATCCTAGTGTAGTGAAGACAAGTAAAACGAAATTTTGAACTATAAAAAACGAAACGAAATAGGATCTGTATTTTAATTAGATTGGGTCCGGGTGTGTCATTTAGCCTGGAATAAGCGGTGAGAAATTTTAGGGTTTTTTTACATGCACGCCAATGCAGAGGCGGATCCAGGAAGTTTTGCAGGAGGGGGGTTGTCAGGCTCTTGCTAAGGAAATTTGACAGTTGACAATGCCATCATCGTCTCTACAATACGTAGGCATACATACCCATTGAGCTTTTTAAAGAGAGAAACCCAACACCCCGTGTGACGTCAATTTTTATTATGGATTAATAGGATCATATTGTGATTCAATTTCATTGATGCATAGCATTAATTGTGATATCACATTATATCATTATTTCGCGCTTTGAATCCCAACCCCATTCCCACCATCTAATGATAAAGGATAATTAAGCCGACAACCGAGACACTTTTCTCATAAAATATTGTTTTACAAATTTGTTTATGTAGCTGAGCAGGGTGGGGTTTGGAAATCCCTCTGGATTCACCCCTTTGGTTCCGCCCCAGACGAATTTTCTTTCGATCAACACGGGACCTCTAGGTTAGCGAGCAAACGTCTTACTCACTTGGGGTGGGGGCGAATGGTTAACGAATGCGCGTTTGATTACAAGGTCTGCCATTTAATCAAGTGACATGGTTTCGAACCCCCGCTTGTACGTTTCCTTCGGTCGCTATGATAAAATGAAAATTGAACCATATGTTAGTCCCGAAATGACCTAGTTAGTGTCGACGTTTAACGCCATCTCTCTCTCTCTCTCTCTCCTTGTCAGGCCCTCCGTCCTGCATCACAGACAAGGGGGGAACCACGCCGGAAAATCTGGATGAACTTTCTCGGCCAATGCAGGGATCCAGGCTAGCGAGCCAGCGTCTTACCCATTTAGCCACCGTAACCCCCGCTATTACATAGGAGAGAGAAATGGGGTTTAACGTTCACTCGACACAAACTAGGTCATTTCGGGACGAACATATGGTTTAATTTTATTTCAATAATTCGCTTGCGCGTAGGGGTCTTTAGCAGTGGGAGGAAACCGGAGGACCCGGAGAAAACCCACGAGGATGGACTATTACATGGGGTTATATGTTATACGATATTCGGCATTCGTTTAGAGGTATACGCGAATATTTGTGTTCGACCAACAGGAATTTGCTTAGCGGTTTACACCGGACTATACGCGTTTAAGGGCACGTATACGCGTCTACATGATATCGTACATGTTCTTTTTTTTTGGGGGGGGGGCGTATACTTGCTGCAGGAAGAAGTAAATTCCATCGAGGTGAGTAGAAAATGGGACTTCACGCCACCAAGTAGAAATCAAGCCAGAGTTTCCTCTTCTTCTGAATCCAACCTGTCCGGATATGAATGAGGGTACTAAAATTGGTGGGAAACTTATAACTGGCCAGGCTAGTATACCTACGTATAGTATATATCGTATATCGTACACCCCAATGTCATAGCAGCCTAACAGTTCCAATTCTGTCACTTTAAGTATACTTACGGTAAGAAATTATTTTTATTTAATAATAAGCAAACAACAGTTTTTTGTCAAAACTTTATATTTTTATGAAAGCTTCTAGTGAAATTTTATGATATCGTTATAAGGTTTTTATCACAATTCATGAAAGCTGGGGGTCATAGAATACCTGGGGCCTGTTTCACGAAATTTCAACTAAGATAAAATCCAAATTTTAGTAATTTGATTGGATAATATTAGATTGATTTTAATGCTTAGCCAATGGTAGTAGCAATAAAATGTTTTTATATTATAAGTTCCCTGGCTTATAGGTTTGCCAACTTCAGTTCAAATTTGTTTGTTGGATAGAGGTAACACCGACTTCGGTCAACTTAAGACCTAACTACTAAACCAACCAACGATTCCGTTCCACGCACCTTTGACGCCCCGTCCCATACCGCGCCCAACCTCTTCTATAAACCGAGCAATGTCAACAAGGACGCCGTCTTTCGTCTCAACATCCTCTCGATAGTCTTGTCTCGGATCGACATTCTTTATTCTTATGAGTTCGTCTTCTAATTCTTCCTCTCTTTGACGTTGTCTTCTTTTAATTCTCTCTAATTCTTCTCTCTTCTCATTATTTTCTAGTTCCATGTTTTCAAGTTCTCGCATCTTTCTCTTCGCCTCTTTCTCAATTTCCCGCGCCTTTTGTTCTAGTTCCCGCTCTTTCTTGTTTTTCTCTTCCTCGAGAAGTCGAAGTTTTTCCTGATATGCCCTTTCCGCTCCTTCAAACATCTCCCCAGTGTAGTATCCTCCGCCATTTTGTCTCACGGTCTGCGTCATCAAATCTAGAATAGCTTTAACATCCATTGCTAATGCCGGTGGTGGTGCTCGGTTGTTAATGGTAGCTATTCTCCCATTGCACTGAGCAACCAGTGATTGTAGTTCTTGCGGGCAGTGCTGGAGATGTTCCTGAATGGTCATACCATCGTAATCAAGGGAGTCCTTACCAGTGAATACAATGATCACGTAATTGACAACGTCTTCTCCAAACAAATCTATGAGGTGCTGGGTCGTCTCCGCCTCTTCCAGGGTAAAGCGACCGATCTTCAGGACGAAGATAAAGACGTGAGGACCTGGTGACGATAGGCCGATGCACCTTATAACTTCTTTTGATGTTTCAAGGTTGCTTTTCCTGGTGTCGAATATTCCTGGTGTGTCGATGACCACCAACTTTTTTCCAATGTCAAGATGCCTGCTTCCAAATTTGCAGTGTAAGGTGACAGACACCCCATAATTGTTAGACTGGAACAGCTTCTTCTGCAGCAGACTGTTTCCTAGGGCGCTTTTACCAGCCCCTGTTTTTCCTAGCATCACTAGTCTCAATTCTAAAATAAACAAGAAAATAGACATATTACTGACCCAGCAACACCGCACGGATTCGGTGCCGCGTTGAATCAGTGGGTAAGACGCTGGTTCGTTAACCAGGTCTCCGGTTCATGGCTAGTGTTGGCGGTAAGATTTCTGCTTGTCAGTGCCTGGCAAGGACAGTGTCTAGTCGTTCGGATGGGACGAAAAACCGAGGTTCAGGGTAAACATTAGCGTTCACGTAAGATAACACACGTGGCAGATAGAATTCGATGTAAGAGTAGGCCACAGCGCCGCTGTCCGATCTCCCACATAGAACACCAGTAGGACTTTAAAACCCCAATTCATTTCAGTTCATCTCCTTGGTAACCAAAGCTGTCACGTTACCGAGACGAGTCTGCGCGTACGGGTCCTTTAACTGTGGGAGGAAACCGGGCTACATGGAGAAAATCCACGAGGTTTGACAGATGACCTACTCCTTGTCACGTACAAGCGGGGTATCGAAACCACGCCACTTGACCCACTGACATACCCTTATGATCAAACGTGTACACGTTAACCAATTCCACCCTCCCCCTCCCAAAAAATTGAATAGGATTCTTCATCATACGAACATAAGTCAATCGGTGAGGACTATGGCTCCAATAGCCCCACAAGGACGATGCCTTTGATATTAAAACCAACAGGATGCTTTGTCGCGTGAACTTTCAAGCCAACTTAAGCTAGAGTGTTCATGCTATTTCAAAAATTAATCAAGGGCCATAACTCCGACAGTAACTATCGAAAATCGTTGAATATCAATATGATTCCCGGTCTCATGAACAATGAACATCAACACTGTGTATAAATTTCAACTTTAGCTTCTTGGGTGTCCGAAAGCAATTTTCGGCAACGGACCGATATGACGACAATATACGACTACATTTCAATGTAGGCATACAAAATTCGAATAACTAATTAGCCTACCTTCTGGACTTGTAAAAGCCATCTTCTTTCTGTTTTATCTATGAACATAACAACAAAACACAATGTAGCAATGTTTTATATCATATGATATAATAAAAAACAATAAAATGAAATAAAATTAAAAGGTTCCTTAAAGATTCATTATGATAAAGAGCTTGTAGTTCTCACTATAATAGTTAAATTGATCCACTCTGAATCGCGAATTTAGCGATTGAATTTTCCGCCTAGCCTCGATCATCATTACTAAAGTCGGTAGGATAAAAATCATTGTCTCGATTATCCATTTCATGATTAAATCATGAATGAAACTTGAGCAGCAGATCGGGTCCTAATCCAGTAAATATCGCAGGCTAGGGATGCCATCTAGAGTTGATTATGGTCTGGATAAGTTAATTAATGTCTAATTAATAATTCAGATAACATTTCAGGACTAAAGAAAGACCTACAATTGGCAGATTTAGCTCTTGCATAATGCATGTTTAACATTTCTAAAATGTATTTGTATGTTGTAGTAGTTTGTTCATTTTGACTTACATTATAAATAATTATTTATATTATTAAGCGATTCTTTAAAACTTCATAAAGCTTTTCAAAAAAAAAAATTATGGCGAATGTGAATTTGTTGCTTTCGTAGCAAAATAAAAATGCAAATTAATTGTCTTAAATCAATTACAAATAATAACTTCCATAAACAATTGATATATCATATGGGCATATCAGTGCACTTAATTCGTTCTTAAACAACAGCAACCACCACCCCCGCGCAAATTTTGAGGTGATTAAGTTCAAGTCAACGTTCCGGAATATCACATTTGTGGGTATTCCCAACCAATGAAACACTCAGGGGCGTATTTTCAACCCGGGTCTAAAATAACCTGTGATTTGGTTCAATCGCAAGCTTATTAAAATACAGAACTATATTTCGTTTCGTTTCTTTTTTTTATACTTTCGATGGCTTACACTACATGAAGATCTGACCGGTTGTAGTAAAAAGTCGGCTTTTGACCCTATGACGTCAGACATTGATTAAACAATCAGCGTTGACGTTTCTAGTTGTTTATCCACAATTCAATGGATCGCACGCCAAGAAGTCGCCGTAACAGATGGTTTCATTGGCTAATCCTTCACGCCATCCAAAACGCTGGTTATATAACAACTCTTCCAAGATCCTAGTGAAGTACTGACAAGTAAAACGAAATTTTGAGATAGAGAGAGAGAGAGAGAGAGAGAGAGAGAGAGAGGGGGGGGGGTGGTTAACGTCCACTCAAAACAAACCAGGTCATTTCGGGACTACCATATGGTACAATTTTATTTCAATAATTCGCTCGCGCGTAGGAAACCGAAGGACCCGGAGAAAACCAACGAGGTTGGACACGTACAACCGGGGAATCAAAACCACGCAAGTTGACCCAATGACAGACCTTATAATACAACGCGCACGCGCTAACCATTCGGCCATCCCCACCCCCTCGTTGATTATAAATCATATTTAATATAATCAGGCCCCGGGTTCACAAAGCATTCTCAGGCTTAAGTTAAGAATTTACTCAACTTTCAATCACTGTTTATAAGAAATATCTTTGATTCAGAAACACAAAACTTTGCACAGTTTCTTATTGATGTATTTGATACATTAAAACAACACAGGGTTTATAAAAGGCTATATTTTAGTTAAAATAAGGCAACCAATTTTGAGTAAATTCTTAACTTAACTCTGAGAATGCTTTGTGAACTCGGGGCCAGTTATTAAAGGGGCATTGGTCAAATTACAGGAAGTAGATTAGAAAAACGCATAGTTCAGAACAGTGTTTGTCAGTCTGGGGTCCTCGAAGTCAACGGTATCCGTGGTAGGTCTGAGGGGGAAAAGGGTATCAGTGAAATAAGATAGTCAAGTAAAATGTTTGGTAAATCGGACAATGAATTTCTATATCCAGTCACACGTCATGCCGTTCTTCAGATTGAATAGAACCAAGGGTGTGGATGCAGATATCCGGTCACATTTGTTCGTTTCTTCTGAATAGAAGCACATGCGTGGATACAGAGGAGGTCTCTCCCTGCTTTCCTACCGGCAATTTCTTTTTCCTATTTTGGGGTGGGCGAGTGCGGCGTCTTTCAGATATTATCCGAAATTTTGTATAAACTTGAAATATTGCTATTGTTTAGTTCGCTTACCGCTTTAAGGGTTCTCGTAATACTACACGTTGCCACGATTATAAATAAGACTCAAGGCGTGCCCCGACCAATTGAAAAGATTAAAATGTAACTATTATTTAAAGAATGTTTTTCACATCGCTTCGCTCATCTGGTAATTGTTTAGAAACAATAAATGTGCAATTTTCGTACACCTGAGTGAATATTATAATAACCCCCATTATATAAAATTGTAAAAAATAGATTAAATATATTTTGTTCGTTCTGCATGACTGTCTTTTGTTTCTTGTCTTTCTTTGTCGGAAATATTGCTTCACATTGCCTTGGGGGGGGGGGAGGGGTCTCGGAAAAATCACAATAGGAGAAGTCCCCAAACATGTTGTCCTCGATAGACTGCATAAAAGAGAGCAAAATTATGGATAAATGAAATTTTAACAAAGCCGTGCAATACCGACATTGGTAAGGTATAGGCAACATAATATCTTTCGGATATTGGCGTGAACGTAACAGATCCCTTGACAGTTGGAATTCGATGTAAGGGTAGGCCGTAGTGCCGCTGTCCGGGCAAACTTTCCTTCATAGCACACTGTATGGCGTAAGCCCATCTTCATTAGCCCAGCTCGGCGCAGAACAGTAGGACGTTAAACTCCCTTTTAATTCATTTCATTTCATGTAAAATCGTGCAAAATATGTTTGCATTGACCAAGCTTCAAAGAGAAAGAATAATGTTTGGCAGTGGCTCTTTACCACATGTAGTATACATGTAAGCACGAATTTCAAAATAGCTTTTCGACTACAGACCGCAATTATTAACCGATTTTAATGAAACGTCCAGATTATGTTTACATTAATGATATCTCAGAGTGCGCAACATTTCGACCACTTCCGGTTAGCGTTTTCCGGGATATCAGGTTACCACACATTTCATGTAGCACGGCTGCAGACCACAAAAATCAACCGATTTCAATGAAACTTACAAATTATCTTTACATTAATGATATCTCAGAGTGCACAACATTTCGGCCACTGCCGGGATATGGCGTTACCACACATTCCATGTGGCACGACTGCAGATCGCAATAATCAACCGATGTCCACGAAGCTTACAGATTATGATAACATTAATGATTCAGGGTAGACAAAATTTTGGCCACTTTCATATGTGCTAAAATACGCTAGCTCGTCTCCGATCTAGCGTTCTCCTGTATATGAACTGTATAGCTAGTGTGTTCGCGTGAATATTAGCACAACCGTAAAGCCCTCCATCCTGTACCACTGACAAGGGGAAACCACGCCGGAAAATTCCGATGAATTTTCTCGGCCAATGCAGGGATCAAACACGTGACCTCCAGGATAGCGAGTCAGCGTCTTACCCACTTAGCCACCGTGGCTCCCCTGTATTCTTCAACTTGTTCATATAACGGGGGAATAACGCATGCGCTTTGAGTCAAGTGGCGTGATTTCGATTCCCATCTTGTAAGTGACAAGCAGTAGGGTCGCCTATCCAATTTCTCGTCGACGTCCAGTTTCATCCCACTGCTAAAAAAAACCCACGCATACGCATCCATGGATGTTACCCCCCCCCCCCCATCTATAAAAGAAATATTAATACATTTCAAAAACAGGTTAAGACAATAGCAAGCTAAATATATTGTAATGCAATCAAATAAAATTGTCAACTTACCGATTGCTTCTCGTGTTTTGTGTATATTGATCATATAACTAACTGCACGAGCGAATGTGGCTGCAGGCTATTATATCAAAACTATTATTAGTAACATAGGTTTTCCCATCATCACTACGTTCTTGGAGAATTCTATTTCGTGAAAATCGATGTTTTTTTGTTGGTTTTTTTTGTTGTTGTTTTTTTGGGGGTTTTTTTTTGTAGTTTACCGGAATATGAAAATATATAATTATTTACCGTTAAAGAGGACAGTTTTTTTATGAAATGAAATGATTTGTGGTTTAACGCCCTACTGTGTTCAGTAACGGCAGGGCTAATGAAGACGGACATACGCCATACAGAGGGCTATGAGGGACATTTCACCCGGACAGCGGCGCTACGGCCTACTCTTACATCAAACTCCAACTGCCAAGGGATCTTTTTCGTGCACAGCAATGTGTACACGGGTACCCACCATACAGTGTGCTATGATGGATATTTAGCCCTGACAGTGTTCTAGAACAGGGGTGTCGATTCCGGGACTAAGGGGGGCGAGAGAGAGAGAGAGAGAGAGAGAGAGAGAATGGGTTTAACTTCCACTCGACACAAACTAGGGATCTTTAGCAGTGGGAGGAAATTGGAGGACCCGGAGAAAATCCACAAGGTTGGGCAGGCGACTCTACTCCTTGTCACGTACAACCGCGGAATCGAAACCACGCCAGTTGACTCAATGACAGACCTTATGATACAGTGCCCACGTGCTAACCATTCGGCCATCCCCCACCACTGGTAGGCAGTACACATGGTTAAGCCTATAGCGAACTATATGGTGATACTGTTTGAATTATATACAACTTTGTTGTACCGGTGTTGTGAGAGTTGTTTTATATCCAAAAAACCAAAAAAAATTAAAAAAAACACACACTAAAGATGATGTATACATTACATATTATTGGCTATGTTCGGATATCTATCTGGCCTATATTTTGTATTGACTTGTCCAATGGCCCGCTGTCGTGGGTCCCTGTCTTGTCACTATGTTGATTGTTCAGAGTTCGCTAGGGAATGGTTTTTCTCTGGGCTGGAAAACGCGTTTGCGGCCGTCCAGTTTTTAAAACCTTTTGGGAGAGTTACCCTGGACCCCGCCCCTCCATCCGGGGGGAGAGAATCCCCGCCACCTATAAAGTTCTTTGCCTGGGCTAGGCATCATGAACTACAATTTTACATCAAGTGGGCCAGAGAATGCCCCCCCCCCACACACACACACAACTTCCTTCCGTAGCCAGCTGGCATGTGCTACATAAAAGTTTACATCCAGTGGGTCGCAGATATACAAAAATATCAAGATAAAGAAAACTATATTAATTTATTTGACTAAAATATTGAACACAACGTTCCCTTGTATTACATACAACTTAGATATTTATGACATACAGTACAGAAGTCTGTTTTACTGAAACTGAAAAACAATGGTAAATAAATTCCAATAATTTCTAAGAATTATCGACACGTAAGTTTGTTGAAATTTGTTCCATGGGCTAAATTTAAACTTTGGCCATGAGCCGCATGTTTGACATCCCTGTTCTAGAGTGGGGACCAGTGGACCCACGAGGTTAGACAGGCGATCTCAATCATTGCCACGTACAAGTTGGGAATCGAACCCACACCATTTTACTCAATAACAGACCTGAAAATTCAAAGCACCTACCCAAGCCTAGCTACCCAAAATATATATATTCCAATGACCTTCCCTATTAACACAAACATTCAACATTATTCACTGACACATTTTATGTGAAACTGCAAAATTCAAAAAACAGAATTATTAAAGAAAATATAGTAGATGGAAGCAACAGAGGATTAATCTTTTCTCTCTACCAATCCATTTATTACAGTCAATGATCACCAAAGGTATCTGTGTATTAGCCTTTGCTCTGTCTGTGTATTAGCCTTTGCACTGTTTGTGTATTAGCCTTTGCTCTGTTTGTGTATTAGCATTTGCTCTGTCTGTGTATTAGCCTTTGCTCTGTCTGAGTACTTTTCACCACTGTCTGGTTTTAGCCTTTACTCTATTTGTGTACTTTTCACCACTGTCTGGTTTTAGCCTTTACTCTATTTGTGTACTTTTCACCACTGTCTGGTTTTAGCCCTTGCTCTGTTTGTGTACTGTTCGTACAATCTTTTGTTCTTCTTCTATTAGTGTTTAATGCCCGCTTCCACCGGTGGTAATATCGCAGACAAGATGTCTTCTTTTATTACGTGGGGGTCTTTCCTGCGGGAGGAGACCCTGGGGCCTGGGAGATTATCCGAGAATTTTATAAAATCAGTTGCGATGGGACAATATTGCTGTTATTTAGGTGCAAACACAAAAAGGGTTAGAGTGGAAAGGGGTCAATCAATCGCATGTTTTTTATTTTACGTTAATTCGACGAAAAAAAAGATACTTGCCTGTGAATTAGAGTGTATTACATGCCGATGCTACATCGATTATGACACAACTAATGATAGCGCTAATAGAATTCAAAATTGTTGTAACAATGCCATTAGAGGATTGCATATCCTTCCGAACTTCTTGACAGCTATCCGAAGTCTTAAGTGCTGCCAACTCGGTCTCTAACCTCCGCTTCTCTTTTTCGTGATTCTCTGTTATCTGTGTAGATGATTCTTGGAAGAGTTGTCTTTCCTTGGTGAATCTGTTGGCGATGCTGAGAACCAAGAAGAAGAAATGTGGACCAGGGGAAGACAGGTCGATACATCGTCCAATGTCCTTCACCGGTTCGTCGTTAGTTTTCCTCGTGTCAAATATTGCGGGCGTGTCGATGATGCATAGCGTGGTACCATCTGGCATGCGTTCCTGGGCAAGCTCAGTTTTAGAAGTGACGGGCGTTGCGATAGTACTGGAATAAAAATGGCGTCTTCCAAGTAGACTATTTTCCAAAGCACTCTTTCCGGTTCCTATTTTGCCAACCAATACAATTCGTATTTCTGAAACATATATAATAGTTGAAGAAATCATTCTCGGTCTACTTAAAGGGCCACTCTATTAGCGGGGCCGCGTCGACCACCCTGTTTGACAATGGATAATATATTTTCTCTAGTAAAACCGACCCTTTAAGCTATGGAACTGACATGTGCTCGATATACGCAGAACATTTAGTTAAAACAACTGAAAATGAAATGAAATCGGGTTTAACGTCCTTCTGCTCTGAACAGATTGGACTAATGAAGACGGGCATACGCCATACAGTGTGCTGTGAAGGAAATTTTGCCCTGACAGCGGCAAATTATAATGAATTTACTGTTATATCGAATTCCAATTACCAAGGGATCTTGCAAGTTCACAATAATATGTACGCTGGACCTCGGTTATTCATCTATAACATCTGAATGACAATACGTTGTCTCTTTAAAAGCCACCAGTCCTATACCACTGACCAGGGCGAACCACGGCGGAAAAGTCCGAAGAACATTCTCGGCTAACATCGTGATAGAACACGGAATCTCAAGGTCATAGATCCAACATCTTACTCCGTGAGCCACCACGGCTCTAAGGAGTGGGAAAGGTGGTCATGTCGCGTGTATTACAAACATACACCCGCCCATTAATGGATCAACATAAAGTAATTATTACCATGGACCATGTTATCTACCCGCGTTAGTACTTGATGACGCCATTATTAAGTCTACACCTATATCAACACTCGGTTTACTTCAATTTCTTTTTTTACTTATTATAAACACAAACACGACAACAAACTTGGCATGTCTGCAAGTTAAATGCAAGGCATTTTTTACTACAGTAAATAGTGGGACAAATAAAAAGAGAGGCGTTGTTTGGATTCCCAAATCCGTGATTTGACAGGAGAGAGAGAGAGAGAGAGAGAGAAACTAGGTCATTTCAGGACTACCATATGGTTCAATTTTATTTTATTAATTCGCTTGCGCGTAGGGGTCTTAAGCAGTGGGAGGAAACCGGAGGACCCGTAGTAAACCCACGTGGTTGGACAGTGTGGGGGGGGGGGGACCCTACTCCTTGTCACGTACAACCGGGGAATCGAAACCACGCCAGTTGACTCAAATAGACAAGCCAACGACAGCGCGTGTTGGGACGGATTTACGAAAATACATTTACAATATAAAGATGAATAAAAATATGGGCTACATAATCCGAGTTCTTAAAAATGGACAATTAAATTAAATAATTACTAATTACTAACGGAAAACAATAAGAAAACTAAGGACGTACATCGAATTATGAACATGCGTTTCAGATCACCACACTGGGCAACTTTACGATCAAGTGACAGTGTATTTTTTTTATTATTAATCAACAATTACTTTTAATAACAATCTTCTAATAACAATGCTCGGCATACCGGTCCTGTAGGCTCCAGACCCCTGGTCAAGTGTCTCTGCTGTCCCAATCCCTCTCACCTCCCGAGCCCTGCATGGAACCGAGGGAAACTGAGTACCAAGGGCTAAATCTCTTTTTTAAGGCCAAGTCGAGATATTACCCCGGATGTGTGGGAGGTCATGGGGCCCAGATTGATACACCAGCTGCAGCTGTAACCCCCCCCCTCCCTCCCACACCCAATTCCTAGAGCCTACCCAAGCTGTATTTTGAATATCGTGCCTTAGAATACACGTTACAATATCACAGCGACTACAATACAGGTTTCATTAGGCGTACAGCTATTATTAGTAACACGGCTTTTCCCTTCAATCTGATTAAAACACGCATCCTGTTTCGTTTCGGTTTTTTTTTTATAATTTTGTTTTTTGTTTGTCTCCACTGCACCAGGAACTTGCAATGCCTTCTGAGGATCTATTTATAGAAAATCTAGTTTGTTATGTCTGCCAATCTGGACGTAAGTTCACAAAGCATTCTCAGACTTAAAGAAACAATTTGGGAGATTAGATAAAAAGCTGGCAGTTCTCACTATAATAGTTAACCAGAGGCTGTCAGACAGGATATATACGCCCACATTTTGCAAGAGATGGATAGAGAACAAGCTAAAAACAAACGGGATTTTTTGTACAATCAGGGGCAATAATCCAGAAAGTTATGGTCTGAAATGCGCAAATATCAAAAGGG